CTCTTTCAGATGTTTGACAGCAAAGATCCATCTTTGCTGATAAGGAAGATTTCCTTCTATCTCTATTTTGACGTCTTCTTTGCTAGTCAATAAAAATATAATGTAACATAATATTTATAACTTTAAATTTTCTAGTAGCCACATTAAAAATGTAAAGAGAAACAACTGAAATTAATTTTAATAATATTACTTTATTAACCCAATATATCCAAAATATAATTTCAACATGTAATCAATATAAACATTGCTAGTGAGATATTTTACATTGTTTTTCGCACTCCATCTTTGAAATCTGATATGTATTTTACAATTACAGCACATATCAATTAAAACTAGTTGCATTTCCAGTGCTCAGTAGCCCCACATGGCTAGTGGCAATGGTTTGGAACAGTGCAGATCTAGAGTTTCTAAAGGTTCAACCTCAAGGATTATGGTCTTTTCTATGAAAGATTTTCTGAGATTTTGTGATATAGTAGCTCACTAAGGATAAATCCAAAATTTCTCAGTCATTCTTTGAATGTCTTGTTTATTTGAATGTCTGATTTTACCTGAACTATCTAAGCAGGGGGGCATATCCAAATCCTGGCCCAACCTGTGCTCAGGTTTCCTATCCTTGGTCGTATCCAGCAGTGATGGACTTTGAAGTTTCATTAGTGTTTCATTAGTGTATCCTGAGAAGAACTCATTCTACTTTTAGTAACAAAAAATAATTCCAGAAAAACAGATCACCACTGTATAAAATTCAGGTCACCAAGCTAACAATCTCCTAGACATCTGCAACTAAAAATCCAAAACATCTTGGAAAATTGACCATGAATATAGGACTCATCAAAAAAAAGAGAAGGAAAGAAAGAGAGAGAGAAAGAGAAAGAGAGGGAGGAAGGAAGGAAAGAAGGAAGGAAGGAAGGAAGGAGGGAAGGAAGGAAGGAAGGAAGGAAGGAGGGAAGGAAGGAAGAAAGGAGGGAAGGAAGGAAGGAAAGAAGGAGGGAAGGGAGGGGGGGAGGGAGGGAGGAAGGAAAAGAAAAGAAAAAGTGGTAATCTTGGCATTAGGAATTCATTATCTTTGATAGATGAACCTTGTACTCCAGGAACCCCTTCCCACCTCTGTCTTCATCTAGATTATATATATACTGTGCTTTCATATTTCCACTTTTGATGTCATCATCAAGTAAGGATCTAAGCGAAAATCATACGTTTACTTTTCATTTCTTGCAAACACGAAATGCCTTGGAAATAGGCTCCACAGTAGAATCTTTACACAAACCTGTAGGAGTCCAGGGCTTTGCTAGCACTCACAGAAGTTTGTGAGAATGGTTCCCAATTTCTACAAGCAACCTAAAATATTTACAGGAACCATCGAGAAGACACAGGATGTACTGAAATTCAATTACTGATGAATTGAGGTATCTATTAGTTACAACTGCAGTAATTCAAAAAATCTGTTTTATTGAAATTCTATTAAATTTATAACTTAATTTGAGGACAATTGGGAGCTTTACGAATTGAGTCTCTCAATTATTTTCCATATCTTTTCTCACTCCTTCAGTCAAGTGTCATAGTCTAGTACATTCCTTAAGATTTATCTCATGACGTGTTCTGCTATTTGTTGCTCTTGTGAATGGAAACTTTTTTTTTTCTGGTTAGTTTTGTGTATGCGTGTAGGGGAGAGTTATTGCTGGTGTTTCCATGTTTATCTTCTTTGAATTCTCTAGAATTCTCTTCTTAGTTCTAATAGTTTGCCATGTGATTCTCTTGTATATTCTTAGTAAACAACTAAATCGTCTACAAATAATGACAATTTTGTATTTTTAATAGAATAATAGATTTAATAATTTTAAAGATTTTAATAATTTCAATAAAACTTTACCACTTAAGAAATCATAATTAATTTAACCAATGATTTACATTATAATTTAATATATAAATTAAATGTATTAAATCTAAACTTATTAAATTTATAATCTAATTCATAATTAAATAATAATTAATGCATTATAAGTAAATTATAGTTAATTAAGTAAAATTAATAAATTTATTAAAATTTAATGATTTTAATCATTTTGAAGATTTTAATAATTTTATAGATTTTTATTGCATATTACTTCTTTTTTTTTTTTGGCATTGCTTACAACTTCCAATAAAATATTGAAGAGTAGTGGTAATAATAGACATCCTTTTCTTGTTCTTGACTTCAATGGGAAAGTTTCTAGTGAATTTTACCATTCAATGTGATCTTTGCTTTAAATGTGTTTCTAGTAAGTCCCTATGGTAGACACATTCCCAAGTAACACCCCCCACACACAAAATGAGTTACATTTTTGTATAACCTACTTCCCTTGAATGTGACTTGCTTCTAACCAATGTAATATAGAAATGTGATGGGCTGTTTCTCCCATGATTGTGTTACATTATACAAAACACTGTCTTAGTGGACTATGGAGAAAGAGATTCTCTTGCCAGCCTGGAAGAAGCAAAGTTGTGAACTGCCTATGTAGAGAGCCACATGTCAGAGAACTGCAGACAGCCTCTGGTACATGAGGGCAGCTTCCGTCTCCAGCTTCCAGCCAATAAATGGCTGAGGCCCTCTGTCATACAACAGCAAGGAAATGAATTCTGCCAACAACTTGATTGAGCTTGGAAGCAGATTCTTCACAAGCCAAGCCTCCAAATGAGAACACCTTGATTGCAGCCTTGGGAGACCCTGACCTGAGCGGAGGACCCAGTGAAGCTGTGTCCAGACTCCTGATCCTTGGAAACTATGAGACAATAACGTGTGTTTTCTTCAGTTGCTAAGTTTAGAAAGGAGGAAATCCTGCCGTTTGCAACAACGTGAATGGACCTTTTGGGCGTCATGCTGAGTGAAATAAGGCAGACACAGAAAGACATACTGTCTGATATCACCTATATGTGGAATCTAAAAAAGTCAAACCCATAGAAGTGGAGAGTAGAATGGTGGTAACCAGGGGCTGGGGCGGAGGCGGGGAGGGGAGCTGTTGGTCAAACTTCCAATTATAAGATGAGTACCTTCTGGGGATCTAATGTGCAGCATGGTGATTATAGTTAATAATACTGTACTATATACTTCAAAGTTGCCAAGAGAGTAAATCTTTAATGTTCTCACCACAAAATTAATGGTAATTATGTGACATGATGGAGATGTTAGCTAACCCTATGGTGGCAATCATTTTGACGTATGTAAGTGTAGCAAATCACTGCACTGTACACCTTAAACTTATATAATGTTATATGTCAATTATATCTCAATAAACCTGGGAAGAAAAGTTGCTAAATTTGTGGTCATTTGTTATAGCAGCTGCAGAAAACTAACAGTCCTCTTTATCAAGTTAAGGAAATTTCTATTATTCCTATTCTGCTAAGATTTTTTTTCTTTTTAAAAACAGGAATGACTATTGAATTTTTATCGAATATCTTTTTTATTTGTATTTTATTTTAAGATCAGGAGTCAGCAAACTTTTTCTAAAAAGGGCCAGATAGTAAATCTCTTTGGCTTGCAGGCCATTCAGTCTCTGCTACGACTATTCAATTTACTGTAGTAACTCGGATGCCAACCATAGACAAGACAGAAATGAGTGAGCATTGCGGTGTTCCGATAAACTTTGTTTACAAAACACGTGGCTGCCCACATTTAGCCCATGGCCTCCAGTTTGCTGACCTCTGATTAAGGTTATCATAGTATTTTTTCTCCCTTAACTTGTTAAAGGAAATATGTTACTAGATTTTCTAATATTGAATCATCTTTACTTTTCTTGGGTAAATTCTACTTGGAAATGATTTTTTAAGGTATGGCTGAACTCATGAAAATTTTATTTAGGACTTGAGCATTTCTATTTCTAAATAGTATTGGCCTGTAGTTCCCTGACATTTTATCTTTGCTCAAGTCAGTGTTGTTTTAACCTCGTAAAATGATTTGGATAGCTTTTCAGCTTTTTCTAAGTTGTAGAAAAATTTATATAATGTGTGAATTATGTGTTCTTTAAATGCTTAAAAGAAACTTTTTTGTTTGCAATTTTTTCCCAAAACTAATTGATTAATTTTTTATTTGGTTGATGTTGGGAATTTACGCTTTTAAAATCGGTTTCTAATTTTATTATATTGGAAGTTATTGAAATATTCTTTTTAACCTTACATATGGTCAATTTTGTGATGGCCTTATATATACTTGAAATGTACTTTTCCTATATCTTGGATTCAAAGTTCTATTTATATATATCTACGAGCTTGTTGAACGTGATAGTCAAATCCTTTAAATACTTGCTTTTTCTTTTGTCTGCTGTGTCTACTGATTTTTAAGAGAGAGACAGATAATTTTTTAATCATTTTAATTAGTCTGTATGCAGGGGTGCAAGTTTTTAAATTGTAAGCTACCACAAATCCTTTTAGAATAGGAAGACTACGGTTTACAGATAAATCTACAGAGTGTGGTCTTCTGTGAGATTAAACAAATATCAGAGGCCTCCCTCTCTCCTTTACCATTGTCCATAAATCACTTAACAACCAAACATGCTTCTATGTGTTCTTCCGAGAACACCAGAATGATATCTAAGGAGTCAATACTGTGCCAATCAGAAAATGACTCAGGAAATGTAAGAGGTAGTCAACTGTAGCCTTTTTCTTCTCTTATGGTAAGAATTTGGATCCACCCAAATTCGTATGTATTGACACTATTGAAAAGGAATATATCATTTAGAATGTAATGAAGGCCATTAAAATCTTAGTTGTTGTTAATGGTGTGCATAGTTCTTCCACCTGGTGGCTTGGTCTAAAAGTATTTAAGAGTTACTCATTAATAATACAGTTAAACATCTGTCTGGTTTACCCACTTTCACTTATGGGCAATGGCCATGTCTTCATGGGTGTAGGCATTTAAACATGCCACCATATTGTGGATTTAGCCTCTGTAGGAGTAACACTTTAATTATTTATTCTGAACAAAGAAAAATAATACTTGGATTCATATTATAAACATGAAAAATGACTACCTCACACCAGTCTATAGATGCATCAGGGTTGTTGCAGAGTTTCCTGTAAAAGCATTTCACATCTTGATTCTTCACTTCTGCACCAAAGAGTTCCTGTACTGTCGCATAAAACTTGTCACAATCAATTGTATCTGCGTTGTAACAAAGTACAAGAACATTGTCATAAAATTCCAAGAACTATATTGTCTTTTTCAGCTGCTTTTTCTATTTGCTAATCTACCTTACGGTTCCAACTTATAAAAACTGGATTCTTTTGCATTTTAAAGATCTTTTCATTGGAAAAATAACTAGGTCCTTGGCTAAAATATTACTTAGTCAAAAGAAAATATTTTACTTTGGTGTTTAGTACCTCCTCCGTAGCCTTTGTTTCAGGAGTTATTTTAGGAGTTTTGTTCAGGAATCCAAAGATAAGAAAGTGAATTACTTCTTTCCTATTTGTGAAAAGTTTTATTGATCAGGAATATCTGCTAGAGTTCATCTTGAGTGGAAGTTTAAAAGTCACAAAGAGCAATTCTTGATTGGTTCTTTGACATTATGTAAACACACACCCACACATACACAAACACACCATTGTTTTTAGATTTGAATATTGCTTTTGCCAAATTTGGTGATTCACTGGAGTTATGACGAAGCAAAAGAAGGAGTTAAACACAAACGTATTGAGCATCTGTTATGTGTCAGAATGGAGCTAGACACTGGACTTAGAATGGAAAACTAGATAGACAAGATCTCTCCTTCAGGGAATTTACATTCTAGTGGGAGAAACGGAAAATTAGAACGTGAGCGAACAAATGAAATATTTGCAGATTGTGACAGGCAAGACTAATTACTGGAGATAGGCATTAAGTGAGAAGGGCTTGAGGGGACTTTCTGGGATGCTAGAAATGTTCTCTGTCTTGATCTGGTTGGTAGCTACAAGTATGTTTACCAAGGTCCAAATTTATTAAGGTATATACTTAAGATTAGTGTATTTTGTGGTCTTTACTGTGTGTATATGATACCTTATTACCAAAGAAAAAATCATTAAATCTAGAGTGAGATAAGTGCTAGGAAGAAAACCAACAGGGAGCTGTGATAGAATTATCTTGTGGTGGGGGCGGGGGATGGACCTCAGGGAGGCTCTCTCTAAGGACAAGGATACAAAAATTATGCTGAGATCTGGTAAGCAAAAAGGAGTCAGCTATGTGAAAAGCTAGACAAGAGTGTTTTAGACAGAGGCTGACAAACAAGAAGACGCTGAGGTGGGAAAGAGCTTGGAGTGTTCTGGAAGGTCACTGAGTATGGAATGTAGCAAGGACTGGGGAGAGTCCTGTGAGGTGAGATCAAAGAAGGAGGCAGAGCTGGAGTCAGAAGTTGTATTTTATTCTAAGCATGATGGTAAGCTATCCTGGAGGATTTTATGCGGGGAAATGACATGAGTTGACTTAAAATTTTTTGAAAGCACATTGGCTGCGGTGAGGAGATCTAAGAACAAAAGCTATAAAGTCAGCAAGGGGCTAGTGTGTTAGTCCGGGTTTCAGATGATGGAAGCTTGGGCCAGAGTGATACAGAGGGTGATGGTACATCCTGGGCTGCCGTGGAAAGTCTCATTTATGCCTATTTTCTCAGCTTAATTATTAATAACAACCCATTTCACTCTTGAAAGTGTCCTCAATTGGGTGACAAGTGATATGGCACCTGAGAGAGAGTACTTGAGATGCTGAGATATGGTTGTAAGTAGAATTACAAAGACTTGCTAGTGAATTGGAAGTTGTTGGGGCAGAAGCAGTGAGTGAAGGACAGGCAGGATTCTAGAGCAGTGGTTCTCATCCCTCTCCCACAGGGACATTGGGTAATGTCTGTAGACATTTCCGATGGTTACCACCAGGGATGGGGGTGCTACGGACATCTGGCCGATAGAGGCCAGAAATGCTGTTAAGCATCCTATAGTGCACAGGACAGCCCTACACACACATATACACATATACAGAACAAAGAATTATTCAGCCCCAAATGTCAATAGTGCCAAAGTTGAGAAACCTTGTTCTAGAATGACATTCAGGTTTCTGGTCTTAAAACTCAGCAAATGTTGGTACTATTTACCGAAACAAGGGCAAATGAGGCAGAGCCATGTTTCTTGGGGAAAATAAAGTATTTCATCTTAGTCATGTTAAGTTTGAAATTTCTGTGACATCTCCGAATAGCTTAGCTGTGTTAAATTCACACCAGCTAGTATAAAATATGTGTCTCATTGTAAGCCACTGGATGAGGATGATGAGACTTTCCTTTCCTGAGAGGATTTTAATTCCATCATTGACAAAAGATGTAAGAGCAATATTGCATGGATGAATCCTGTGGTGTACTTAACATCATTTTTGAGGTAAACAACTGTCTCATTAAAAACATTCTCTCTAGGGCTTAGCTTCTTGCCTATGGTGAGAAGTAGACCCTGTTTTCCAGTATGTATGAATGAATATGAATGTATGCAAGTATTAGCAGTCTGTTGAAAGTTAAGATTACATTTTTCCCTTCTCAGTCTTTCAGGCCAGTCCCTCTGTCATAGAAGGTAATTTATCTAGCAGTACTTAGTTTTTATCAAATATATTATATATATAGAGAGAGAGAGAGTATATATATTTTATAGATATATATTTTATAGTATGTTATACTGTGGTATAGCATATATGTGTGTATACATATATTGCTCTGCTTATGAAAGTCTTCATGGTCTCGTGACACCCTTAAGTAAAGAGATGGCAGGTGGCTCACACGGCTTGCTAATGATCATTGTGCACTACTGAGCATCCCAGGTCAACCAGTGAGCTACCACATGGTACATCCCACAGAAGAACCCTTAGATATCACTTAATCCAACCCCCTAGCTTTACCTTTGAGACAACTATGGTTCAGAGAAGTGAAAAGAGCTTCCCCAATTCCACTTAGCTATTTAGAGACAGAGTCAGAATGAGGACTCAGGCCCCCGTTCAATGTCACTGCTATTAAGTTCTGTTGCTTCTCTCTTACAGCTGAAAACATTTCCCAGTTCTAACCATCAGACCCACTGGACTGCCCTGTCATCACCGATCTTACCTTCCTTTTGGATAAACAAGCCTGCTCTTTCGTCCCTTTTTTGGGCCGCTGTACGTTCAACCAGTTTTTCAAACTCCTTCAACGCTGTCTTGAAATTGCTAACCTGAAGCGCAGCGTTGATATGCTTTTCCTCCTTGATATCCATAGGGACATAGGGAAGCTTCTATTTCCGTATAGAAATAATAGTGCAAATATGCCAACTTCGAAAACCTTCCGGTTGTTACAGTGCCTCCTTACTGTCTCAGTTTTTGCCCTAGGTCTCATTCCTTTCATCTTAAAATCCCATCCTGTGGACAGGAGTAAGAGCGGCCACGAGGAGGGTAGCAGGGAGCAACGCTGACTTAGGTCTGGTGCATTTCATGTGGGCAAACATTTCAGTAAAAATCCTGACCTCATAATGTGACCAGTGTCCTTCATGTGGTCCCCGTCGCATCATAATATCTCTGTAACATCCTCCTTCCTTCATAAGGTGGAGACTGAGATTACCTTCCCTACAAATGTGTGTGTGTGTATATACACTGCCTGAGAAGGAAGAAGAATGGGTAAATACCGAGTAAGAAAACTGGGCAGGGGTTGGCTCCGTGGCTTAGCGGTTAAGTTCACGCGCTCCAGTACTGGAGGCCCGGGTTCGGATCCTGGGTGCGCACCGAGGCACCGCTTGTCCCGCCATGCTGAGGCAGCGTCCCACGTACAGCAACTAGAGGGATGTGCAACTATGACGTACAACTATCTACTGGGGCTTTGGGGAGAAAAGGGGAAAAAAAAAAACGAGGAGGATTGGCAATAGATGTTAGCTCAGGGCGGGTCTTTCTCAGCAAAAAGAGGAGGATTGGCATGGATGTTAGCTCAGGGCTGATTTTGCTCACAAAAAAAAAAAAAAGAAAGAAAGAAAAAAGAAAACTGGGCATTACTTTCTCCCTCCTGTATCTCCTCTCACCTCAAACCTTTCGCCTTCCTCAGGATGCTGGGGAGAGTAAAATTCACGTTCATTCTTGCAGCTCTACTGGGTATGGAAACGTGAACTTCTAAAGATGAAAATGTATTTGAGCATGTCCTTTCTATCACAAATGAAGACGTTTTTAGAGGTCTTAGAGGATAAAAATGCCTCTTCCTTTATGCATTATCGTTCAATTAAAATAATAAAGTGAGCCAGGGATGGGGAGGGGGTAGTTCCTGATTGAGAGGAAAGTTCTCCAAGGTGTTATGAGTTGAATGAGAAGAGGTTTTTCTGCACATCTCCTTTCCTCTCATCACAAACTCCAGTGCTCCAAACCCTTTTAGTCCAATTGCTGTTGAATCACGTTTTCCAATATTCAACTCTTTATGGGAAGGAGAGATAGTCAAATGTTTTATCAACAATTAACTGCCTATGGTTTAGGTGAGTTAGATGGCGTCCATCTTTAAAAACATCTGCAAGCTCTTGCATTCAGAGGTGAAGCAGATGGCACAGCTGGGCACCTCCAGTTCCGGTACTGTCTCCTTGGTGTCCACCTCTGGTGACTATCAGGAGAGCAAAGCACGGTTTTCATATAGAAAAAAAATCTCCTAACTCCTTCTCTTTTCCATTTAAACTTTCAAAGTACTGAGTAGTGACAGTACAACAAAGTACTGAGTAGGAAAGACCACCTTTCCTACTATTCTAATGCATGCATTCTTATATTCATCCATCCATCCATTCAGCAAATGTTTATTGAACGCCTGCTTCATGCTAGGTGCTGTTCCAGGCATTGAGGATACAGCAATGAACAAAATAGCTTCTTGAGCTTAAAATCTGAGGAGGAAGACAAACAAACAAGCAAATAATATGTCAGAAGTTGATAAGTGCAGTGAAGAAAAAGAGAAAAGGTGTGTGCTGGGGATAAATCAAAGTAAAGGGATTAGGGAGCTCAGAGAAGGCCTCATTAATAAAAAGACATTTGGGCACAAACCAGAGGGAAGTGAGGTAGCAAGCCATGTGGATAAATGAGGGAAGGGTGTTCCAGGGACCAGCAGGCGTGAAATCTCGAGATCAAAGTGTGCTTGACATATCTGAGACACAACAGGAGGCCGTGTGCCTGGGGTGATGTGAGACAGGGGAAAGAGGTAGGGAGATAGGGTCAGAGAGTCAGGGAGTGGCACCAGATCCTGTGAGACCTTATAGGCTGTTGTAAGGACTTTAGCTTTTACCCTGAGTGAAGTGGGAAGTTTTTTTTTTTGTTTTGTTTTTTATTGATGTTTTAATGGTTTCTAACATTGTGAAATTTGGGGTTGTACATTTTTGTTTG